GATGGTCTACATAATGATCACTTTGCGGCGGCAGACTCACAATTCAAATAAGAAGCCGCGAAGATTCGCGAGTCATTGAAACACTCTGCATCCCGCGGAAGGGCACAGGAGCAACACCTATGACCACCATGCGAACGCGGAACGATACGAATTCACCCCATTTCGTATCGGTGAAACTGGGAGGAGAAGGGGAGGAAGAGCAGGAGAGCAAAATCGACCTGAGAAGTGCGTGCGAGGCCATGGCAACCCCATCGGCGCGCAAGTGACTGCGGGTGCAGCGAATATTGCAATATGAGTACGGTGAAAAGAACACATGCAACATGCACAAGAAGAGCGGGACGGGCAAAGGAGGGGAACGGAGGGGGAGGGGCATGGACCTACCAGCACAAAACTTCCATGAGGCATGGAACTTCCACATTCGCGGGGGGAGCGAGGAGGAGACCGGAAGAGGAGGCGGAGAGCCGGCCAATCCCAGCAGGGCCAGCCGGCGCATCGCCTCCAGGAGGCGAGGGCGGGAGGAAAGAGAAGAGGGGGGAAGGATGCTCCAAGCGGACTCTGGATACATCGGGTGCGTCTGCGAGCCCTTCAACCGCCGACAGCTCCCCGCGCGCGATGGCTTGAAACCCTGGGAAGAGGGCGTCTAGGCCTGGCCGGTCCGAGAGCCCTGCCACAACTCGACACGTCCAGCCAACCAGGGCGGAATGGCTCGGTGATTCCGCATGGGAGGAGGAGAGGAAGAGGAGAGGAGAAGAGGAAGAGGGAGAGGGAGGGAGGAGGAGACAGACCAGCACAACTAAAACTGTATCGATGCTTAGTCCCACTATGTGGGATGGCGGATAAGGCCACGGCCGAGGGTACAACTGGACAGGCGGGGCAGTTGTACTCGCCGCGCTGTTCTCCTAAGCACTGGCGAAAATCCAACCAGAAAGCGGGAAACGTTTTCCGGCCACCTGGCCACCTGGCCCCCTGGGCCCCGCGGCAACACGATGCAATGCAGACATGCACGTGCAACCTTTCACAAACATCAAACATGCGGTCCCTGCCACGCCGCGGCGACTCTGGCAGCCAGCGCTGGGTGCGCAGCGCAGGCCTCCCGTCCATACTGCCACCAAGCGCCAGCCGCATCCGCTGTAGAACTGTGACGGGCCGCGCAGGAAGCAGCGCATGCACAATGGGCTGCCAAGGCGCGGCGAGCTAACAGTGGGGCCGTGTCCTCTGAAAACGTGGGCCCCAGAGCAATAAAACACGAAAGCCTAGCCGCCGGGGAAGGGCGGGGTAGCCGCAAGTGCCTGTATCCTAACTCCGCCAGACACGGGCACTGCGCAAAGTGCTGTAGACTCTCCTCGCCGCGAGGACAGCCAAAGGGGCAAGGCGCCCATCGCCCGAATCGGCGTGCGGTCTGCCAGCTGTCACACATGGCCCTGTACAGAGATGCCCAAACCCAGGGCGGCACGGCTTGCGCAAGACCGCGCAAGGCCGCCAGCGCGCGAGGAAGGCGACGACCAGGAAGGAGGTGGAGGGGGAGGCGGCAGAGGGAGCGAGAAAGCTCACGCGTGGTGCTCACCGGGCTCGGCTGTGTCAGCAGCTGGCGGCAGCGCCGTTGCCACTGCGACCGGGGCGTCGGGGTTGTCGAAGCACCTTGGACCATGAGAGCGACGGAGAGGCCGGTCCCCACGGTACAGGCCTCGAGGCGGGACTGCGCAATCTCTCGGTTCTCGATGAAGTTGCCACTGCACCACGCATTCCATGTAGCCAACTGCTGTAATTTGCTCGAATTACTAATTTTGTCCAGCAGCAGGCGCCGCCGGCGCGGGATCTGCAGGCCCCCGGAGGCGTCGGCCTCCCAGCGGTGCACCTGCACTTGGCCGCAAGGGAGGTGGCGTGTGCATCGGGCAGTTGCGAAGGGAAGCCCAACGAGCACAGGTCCCGCAAAGCGGCCGGTGAGGTCCAGCAGCGTGGCCCCGGGAACAGCAGCGCGCATGCCTTCTGTTCATGTTCAGCCCAGTCTGGCGGCAGCCGGTCCAGCTGCATGACGAAGCAGAGGACGGGGAATATGTAGACGCGGTATGCGAGGAGGGTGATAAACATGCCGCCGCCCACGGCTCGCCATGTCCTTGCCCGCGAGATATACTTCTGCAGCGGCTTCGCCCGGGACAACTGCGCGCGCTCGGGCCCCACCTCGAAACCCAAGTACGTGGCGCGCCGGCGTACCGCGAACTCCCCCCAGGCGGGGGCAGCTGCCTGCAGGCGAGCCCGGACAACGTCTACCGGCGTTAAGGAGAGCGGCACCCAGACGCTTTTCCCCCTGTGTAGCCTCAGACCAGACAGCCGCTCATACTCGTCGAAAGCGTGTTCGAGAACGGGCGCGACCCGCGTGCCGTGGGCAAGGGCCACCGCGAGGTCGTCGGCGTAGGCGCGCTGGTTAGACTCCGGCACTAAGCGGGGCAGCCGACGAAGCAAAACGTCCGAGAGCACAGCGAAAAGGAAAGGCGAAAGAGGGCAACCCTGCCGAACCCCGGCGGTGAGCTCGAAGCCGTCGAACTTGGCGCCCTGGACAATCCGCCGACCCCAGAGGCGCGTGAGGGAAAGTGACCAAACTCGGCCACACTCCCACCCCAGGTAGCTGTGATCACGCCCTCTGCTCTTGGGAACCCCGACTCGACATTTCCTGGACCCGAACCATCAACGCCCCCCACCTGGACCCCTTCCTGGCCTGGCATTCCTTGCCGGGACCCCTCCACCACGGCTCCACCGCGACTGACACCGCCAGCCTCCTGAGGCCCCTGGGCATACGTTCTTCGGGCCCCCGCGCCCTGCAAGATCCTCGCCGGGACCCTTCCACCACGGCTCCACCGCGTCTGACCCCGCCAGCCTCCTGAGGCTCCTGGGCATACGTTCTTCGGGCCCCCGCACCCTGCAAAATCCTTGCCGGAGCCGTCTGACACCGCCAGCCTCCCCCCGCTCCGGCACCCCCCCTCCTGCGCCCGGCATGCCCACCCATCCCGAGAGAAAAGGCTGTTCTTGGGCCCCCCCACAATGCAAAAACCTCTCCGGGACCCCCCACCGCGCTCGGCACCACGCCGCCCCAACAGGCCAAAATCGGGCTGGCACCCCGCCTCCGCAACAGGCCATTATCGTCGATGCCCATTGATTTTTTCAATGTTTTTCGCTTTCACGCTCTCCGACGCTCCACGACCGCCCAAGAGGCCCCCTACACCGCTCCCCAAGCCTCTGGAGCTCTGTTTTTGGGTTCCCCGACTCTGCAAAAACCTCACCAGGACCCCCCACCGCGCCCCGGCACCCCGCCGCCCCAACAGGCCAAAATCGTTGATTCCCATTGATTGTTTCAATGTATTTCGCTTTCCCGCTCTCCGACGCTCCACGACCGCCCAAGAGGCCCCCAAGACCGCTCCCCAAGCCTCTGGAGCTCTGTTTTTGACCCCCCGACTCTGCAAAAACCTCGCCGGGACCCCCCACCGCGCCCCGGCACCTCGCCGCCCCAACAGCCCAAATCGTTGATCCCCATTGATTTTTTCAATGTTTTTCACTTTCCAGCTTTCCGACGCTCCACGACCGCCCAAGAGGCCCCCAAGACCGCTCCCCAAGCCTCTGCAGCTCTGTTTGTGGGCCCCCCGACTCTGCAAAAACCTCGCCGGGGCCCCCCACCGCGCCCTGGCACCCCGCCGCCCCAACAAGCCAAAATCGTTGATTCCCATTGATTTTTTCAATGTTTTTCAATTTCCAGTTTTCCGACGCTCCACGACCGCCCACCGAGGCCCCCAAGACCGCTCCCCAAGCCTCTGGAGCTCTGTTTTTGGGCCCCCCGACTCTGCAAAATCCTCGCCGGGGCCCCCCACCGCGCCCCGGCACCCCGCCGCCCCAACAGTCCAAAATCATTGATTCCCATTGGATTTTTCAATGTTTTTCGCTTTCCAGCTTTCCGACGCTCCACGACCGCCCAAGAGGCCCCCAAGCCCGCCCCCCTAGCCTCTGGAGCTCTGTTCTTGGGCCCCCCGACTCTGCAAAAACCTCGCCGGGACCTCCCACCGCGCCCCGGCACCCCGCTGTCCCAACAGGCCAAAATCGTTGATTCCCATTGATTTTTTCAATGTTTCTCACTTTCCAGCTTTCCGACGCTCCACGACCGCCCAAGAGGCCCCGAAGACCGCTCCCCAAGCCTCTGCAGCTCTGTTTGTCGGCCCCCCGACTCTGCAAAAACCTCGCTGGGACCCCCCGCTACGCTCCGGCACCCCGCCGCCCGAACAAGCCAAAATCGTTGATTCCCAATGATTTTTTCAATGTTTTTCGCTTTCCAGCTTTCCGACGCTCCACGACCGCCCAAGAGGCCCCGAAGACCGCCCCCCAAGCTTCTGGAGCTCTGTTTTTGAGCCCCCCGACTCTGCAAAAACCTCGCAGGGGCCCCCCACCGCGCCCCGGCACCCCGCCGCCCCAACAGGCCAAAATCGTTGATGCCCATTGATTTTTTCAATGTATTTCGCTTTCCCGCTCTCCAACGCTCCACGACCGCCCAAGAGGCCCCCAAGACCGCTCCCCTAGCCTCTGGAGCTCTGTTTTTGCGCCCCCCCACTCTGCAAAAACCTCGCTGGGGCCCCCCGCCGCGCCCCGGTACCCCGCCGCCCCAACGCGCCAAAATCGTTGATCCCCATTGATTTTTTCAATGTTTTTCACTTTCCAGCTCTCCGTCGCTCCACGACCGCCCAAGAAGCTCCCAAGACCGCTCCCGAAGCCTCTGGGGCTCTGTGTTTGGGCCTCCCGACTCTGCAAAAACCTTGCCGGGGCCCCTCGCCGCGCCCCGGCACCTCGCCGCCCGAACAGGCCAAAATCGTTCATTCCCATTGATTTTTTCAATGTTTTTCGCTTTCCAGTTTTCCGACACTCCACGACCGCCCAAGAGGCCCCGAAGACCGCTCCCCGAGCCTCTGGAGCTCTGTTATTGGGTTCCCCGACTCTGCAAAAACCTCGCCAGGACCCCCCGCCGCGCCCCGGCACCCCGCCGCCCCAACAGGCCAAAATCATTCATTCCCATTAATTTTTCCAATGTTCTTCGCTTTCCCGTTCTCCTACGCTCCACGACCGCCCAAGAGACCCCCGAAGACCGCCCCCCAAGCTTCTGGAGCTCTGTTTTTGAGCTCCCCGACTCTGCAAAAACCTCGCCGGGACACTCCACCGCGCCCCGGCACCCCGCCGCCCCAACAGGCCAAAATCGTTGATCCCCATTGA